ATGACCCGGCTTTCGTGTCTTCGCAGGGGAAAATCAAGCGTTTCAACATTGGGCCATAATCCAAAGGCAACAGGCGAGCAACCAGGCTTCTCCAATGCAATGTGGCAAGATTGCTCTCGTCACATCTCTCCCCTTTTCCAAACAGATTAACAGGGTATCTGACCTCCTGCCGGTCAGTGCCCTTGTTAGTCCAGCAGCCCACCTACAAAACACAATCAACAGCACAGCCCACCCACAATAAATGGTTACTACACCTGGGTAGAGGAGAAGCTTCTCCATGTCCAGGTGTCTCACCACGGCTGTGCTGGGTATGGGTATGCTGACTTGGTGGGTTGCTGCGTGGGCAGAGACCAGCGGTACTCTGCCCTGTTGCCAGCGCTACTGGGAGGGTAGCCTGGTTGGAGCCTGGTTGTTGGAGGGGGAGACCGACTGTCTCTCCTTTAGATACACAGCCCTGCTGCTGGAGACCGACTGTCTCCCCTTTGGACACACAGCTCTGCTGCTGGAGACCGACTGTCTCCCCTTTGGCTAAACAGCCCTGTCGCTGTGGGGCAGAACCAACCATCCCTACCCCCTGTGCTGGACGTGCAGAGACTACAGTCCCATCTGCACAGTTGTGGGGCTTACTGTTTCCCCTCCCACTGGAGTGGGAGGAGTTTGCCGTTGCTGCTGGAGAGTGAGCTGCTCTGTGCTTCATCTGTGTGTTCCCAGGACCACACCCGTTTGTGGCTGCTTTTGGAGCTTGATTTCTGGGCTTTGGAATTACTACAGCAAGGGGCTCTGCCTGGGCCTAGGCAAGCATGGCCCTCGGGCCTTCCTGCCCAGCCTGGGGATGGAAGGTCAGGCTGGACGAGCTGCAGGCAGTGCTGGCTTTTGGGGAAGGTAAGGCGGATACCAGGGGCCTGTCTTGGACTGAGCATCAGGCCCTCTCCCGGCAAATACGAAACCAGGTCTCCCTGTTGGAGGAACTGGCCGGGGGGATGTCTAGGAAGCTTACAGCATGGAAAAGGGAAGTGGGGGTCCCCCAGGGAGCTACGGCCCACACCAGGGCCGATATCCAGCTGCTCTCTGGGCTGCTGGCTGAGTGCCGTGAACTTGCCAGCAGTGGCCTCCACTTCCTAGAACAGCCCCCCCCCCGTCCCTGGAGGTGGGAGAGGGTACCGAGGAGGAGGTAGTCCCTGAGACCCCCCCTGAGGTGGCTAGTGCCAGCAAGACCCCTCAGGCCTCCCTCACCTATGCTGAGGCTGCAAAGGGTGAGGGGGTTGAGGCTAGGGTCTTTATGGGGCTACCTTCTGACAGGCTCCGGGGTCTGCTTGTGTCCCTGAAGGCCCAGCATGCCGAGGCAGACTCTGGCCTAGCAGGTACACGGGAGCAGAGGGAAAAATCAAACAGGACCTCTAATTACAAAAGAGGTCCTTTGAGGGCCGCTATAGCTGAGAAAAAATTAGTGGAGCAGCATCTATCCTACACCCGTGCTCCAGACTGAAAAGAAAATAGCAGACATCCAGGCCATCCTGCAACAGAGAGCCAAGGACGCTGCGAGGTCCAGGAGGCAGAGGGCTATGGAGGGCAGGAGGGACATGTCCCCAGGTGAGGAGTCCAGCAAGGATTTGGATTCCAACTCCCATCACTCACCTGGGGAGCCGTCTACCTCTGCCGTCTACCTCTGCCCTTGCTACTCCAGGGGGCGCTGCTGAGACGGAGGGGAAGGCCAGAGAGAAGGACAGTGAAGAGGAGTGGGACGGAGAGAAAGGTGAAGAGTGGCAGCTGAAAGTGCAGGACAGAGGTCGAGGGCTGATTAAGGAGTCTCTCCTCAAGTTTGGAAATGAACTTGGGGAGGACTCCGTAAAGGACAAAAAGAAGAAAAAGAAGAAAAAGAAAAACATCGCCCGGCGTCAGCCTGAGACCTCTGTCAGGGGGTCTGGAGATTCCACAGAGGAGGGTGAGTGCTCAAATGCTGAGTATATGTACAATGATGATGTTCAGGCCTTGCAGAAGCCTGGGGCCAGGGATACTAACCCTGCAGGTGGCAACACCTGTATGCCCCAGAAACCTGCACAACCTGCTTCTGTGGAAGTATCTGGGCCCCCCGCCGCCCTCCATGGTGACAGGGAGACCATCCTCGCCGGTACTATGGCGTGTACCGGTGATCCCATGGAAGGGTCCTTCCCTTGCTCCCTTCCCACTCCCTCCCTTACCTGCCTTCCCTCTGACCTTCCTCTCCGTGTGGTTGCGTCCCCTGGAGTGGCTGGTACCTCTGCCTCCTGTCCTCAGGCGGCTGCTGGGCAGGATGGCACTGGATGGAGCAGTCTGGAGCAGGGCGATGGCCCTCCTTTTCCCTCTGCTCCCTTGGAGCAAGCTCGACTGCTCTCCCCTACCAGCAAGTCTCCTCCCCTGTTTGTCCCCCAGTCTGTTTCCCTGGATGTGTCCAAGTTTGTCTTCCAGTCTGTTCCCCCTGCTTCCCTATGTGTTCCCCTTATGTCTGAATGTGTAACCAGTCCCCCTGTTGTTCCTGTTGTTCCTGTTGTTCCTGTTGTTCCTGGTGCCGCGGGTGCCGCTGGCGCTATGGAAGACAGGACTGCAGGGGACTCCCATCATCCTCAGCCAGCAGTCCATACTGAGGAAACCGCCAGTGGAGGTAAGAAAAGTATGACTAACATTGTGTTTGACTCCACTGGTGGTTTAGGGATGGCTGAGGAGGATGGGAGTATGGATGTAACTGTAAATGTAATGATGGGACCTATTGGCCTTAGTAAAAAGGTCCAAAGCCAGCCTGTTTGTATTAATGATGTTGCCCCTGCCCCTGGTGTTGTTGCCCCTGCCCCTGGTGTTGTTACCCCTGCCCCTGGTGTTGTTGCCCCTGCCCCCGGTACTATTGCCCCTGGTGTTGTTGCCCCTGCCTCTGGTTATGTTGCCCCCGCCCCCGGTACTATTGCCCCTGCCCCCAGGACTATTGCCCCTGCCCCTGGTACTGTTTCCCCTGCCCCTGGTTATGTTGCCCCCGCCTCAGGTTATGTTGCCCCTGCCCCTGGTTCACTGGAGTTAGTTGGTACACAGGTGGCGGGCACGAGCACGGGCACAGGCACCCTGACAAAGGGTGCTGCGGTTATAAATAGTTTAGACGCACAAGCAGGTACACGGGTTCCCCTTAGGCACTCCCAGGTTGTCACCCAGGGTTCTGGTGTGACCGAGGCCTCTGGTTCAGCGAGGGGAGTCCGTCCGAATCATTCCCAGACGGCGGGTCCCGGTGCGCCCCCAGGTCTGCACAGGGTACAAAGTGGGCAGGATTCACCGCTGTGGCCATTTCTCGCCAGGGTCTTAAGAAGGTCACTTTCCTGGTGAGAAATGAATCCATCCCCATAGCAGACATCCTTGTTTGGACTAAGAGGTTTGGGGATGTTAAATCCCCCCCTGTTAAGATCTTAGATGAGGATGGGATTTGGACAGGCGGATGGACTGTTTCAGTGTTGCTGCGGGAGATTCGAGGTGTCACACAGCATATGCCTAATAGTTTTTTCATCTGGGCTGACCGGGTATTCTGTTTTTATCCTGGTCAGCCCAGGGTATGTCACAAGTGCGGATCGTGCAGGCATTACAGCAATGCCTGTGCGGTCCTCAAATGCACTATGTGCGGTGCTGTGGGGCACCTCCGGGACAGCTGCAGGGAGATCCGGTGTCATCTGTGTTCAGAGATGGGTCACACGTACCGCACCTGCCCCGAAGCCCAGCACAATGTAGAGTCCATCTGGAGTCAGGAGCCGGTGGAGATGGACTGTGCTGGGTTAGGGGTTCAGGTAGCATCGTCATCTACAAGGCCCATCTCTGGCACAAGGGTTTCCCTGCCCCAGCAACAACCCATCCTCCCCTCGGTCTCTGTAACATCTCAGGACCCTGGGAAGGCCACAAGTTCACGTCCCCTCACGAAAAGTGTACGTAGAGAACGCACTACCTCCACAGCCATTATGGCTCCCCCTAGACCCCCTCCCCTAGGCCCCCCCCTCCTAAATTCTCCACGGTGAAGGTTACCCCCACTGAAAAATCCCCAGATGCACGTCCCTTAGATGCACAGTCCCTAGAGTGGAGCACAGTGAAAGGTAAGAAATCCCCCCCCTCCAAGACCTCGACGCTGCCCTCACCCCGGAAGATCGCCATACCCCCTGCGGCGAAACCCCCAAAAGGGGGAGACGCCACTTATAAGGGTGGTGTAGCACGGGCGTCATCCTCCTCTTCGGGCTTGCAGGAGGCCCCGGTGCCCGTATCTAACAGGTACGAGGCACTGTCCTCCAGCTGGGCCGACTGTGAGTACGAGGAGGAGATGGCGAACCTCCCCGAGGTGGTGGCAGGGGTTGAGATGGGACAGGAGGTGCTTCTGAGAGACGACGGGCCACTGTATCCCGGAGTCTCGGTGAAGAGGTTCCTCGGTTCCGACACGGAGGAGGAGGGGTACCGCAGAAGGAAGGGAAAGTCTCCTTATACTTAATGCCCTTATGGCGACTTTTCCTGTACTCTCTGTGGCTACGGTGAATGTAAACAGCATTAAGTCCAGCAGGGGCCCGCTTTTTGGTTTACGACCACCTCAGCCGGGCTCCGTACAATGTCATCTTGGTACAGGAGACCCAGCTGGAAACCCTCGCGGCCCTGCACGCTGCAAAGCGGGACTGGAGATGGGGGCCCTCCTACTTCTCTCTAGCCACAGAGAGATATGGGGGAATCGCCATCCTATTTAAGGACGTTGATGTTAGCATCAACAGGGTTATTGAGTTGCAAAAAGGATGGTGTGTGGTTTTAGATGTCTCAATGGGCAGGCAACCTTTCAGGATAATTAATATCTATGGCCCCCAATCTAAGTGGGAGAGGAAGCGCCTGTTTATTGAGATAGAGCCTTACCTTTATACATCCCAGCAAATCCTGTTTGGTGGTGACTTTAACACCATAACTAGGCCTCAAGACAGGAGAGACGCCACTCAGAGGCTGGGTATGACTCCTATTTTTTAAATAAGATGGTTAGTCAGGCTGGATTGGTCGATGTGTACCTTCATCACACTCCCAATCCCACGGGTGGGTACACTTATCACAGAGGTAGCTGTCAGAGTAGGATAGATAGGTTTTTCTTTAAGGAGAATTTCCCGGTGGCGGCACCCGTGTTTACACCGGTGGAGTTCTCCGACCATCACATTTTGTCTTGCGAGTTGAACGTCTATAGTACCCCACCTAAGGGTAGAGGGATCTGGCGGCTAAATTCAGACCTCCTGGTGGAACAGAGGGTTCAGCAAGCCTTCATGGAATTCTTTCACGATCAGATGACATTGGCCGACTTAGGCCAAATGAAGTCTGAGTGGTGGGAGATGGTGAAGGCCAGAACTCAACGGCTGTTTCACAATCTCGCCCGGAACATGCAGTCCTCCAGGTACAAGATGTATCTGGGCTTGCTTGGGAGGTTAGACATCCTGATCTCGCAGGGAGGTGACCCCGAGGACATTGCGGCAGTTAAAAACCTGATGAGGAGTTATCAGTATGACAGGTACGCCTCCCTTGTAAAAGAGAGGGATCATGGGTCATACCGCTCGCCCGATCCTTATCTTAACTGCAAGCGGAAGGAAGGTACCAAGTCCATCCCTAGTCTGCGGGGCACCGACGGGACCCTAGAGGAGTCTCCTCGCGGGATTCTGAAGGTGGTCCGCGACTACTATATTGAGCTCTTCGGAAAGGGCAGCCCCCAATGTAGCGAGGAGGGAACCTCCCACGGGAGAAGGGTGGATGACTTCTTGAGCGAGCTCACGCTCCCTGAGCATAGCGACCTCTCTTTTGACGAGTTGGTCAGCGAGATCACCATAGAAGAGGTCACAGAGAGTATCCAACAGCAGAACAAGTGTAAGTCGCCAGGTCCTGATGGTCTGACAGCCGAGTTTTACCAACAGTTCTGCGACCTCTTGGCCCCTCATCTGACCGAGGTGTTTAATGAGAGCTTGGCTCAAGGATTATTGCCATCCTCGATGAGGACTTCTGCCCTGATCTTGCTGTCCAAGCCGAACGTGCTCGACACAGCGGATGTGGGGAACTGGCGCCCCATATCCCTGTTAAATGTCGACAGGAAGGTCCTGGCAAAGATTTTGATGAAACGAGTACAGGGCCTAGCGAGGCGTGTCCTATCCACCTCCCAGTACTGTTCAATCAAGGGCAGAACTGTCTTTGATGACGTTTTTGAAGTCAGGGAAGCCCTCGAGAAGTGCAGGGACGGAGAAAGGGGGATATACCTTCTGGCACTTGATCAGTCCAAAGCTTTTGATCGAGTAGATCACCGTTATCTGTGGTCAGTCTTGCGGAAGTATGGCTTGCCGGGAAAATTCGTCAATTGGATAATCACCTTGTACAGAGGGGCCGAAAGCTTTGCTCTTGTGAACGGGTGGAGGGGCAGGACGTTTAGGATCCGATCCGGGGTCAGGCAAGGCTGTCCTCTCAGTCCACTCTTGTACGTGTTTGCAGTCGATCCCTTCATCCGGAGGGTCGAGGCAGGCACGTTACAGGGAGTGGCCAGGGCTCCGGAGAGGCCTTTACGGGTTGTTACCTACGCTGATGACATCTCCATAGTGGTCTCCAATACTCGGGAGGCCACGGAGGTGGATGATTTAATCCTAGCGTATTCTGCCGCTTCAGCCTCTCGTGTCAACAGGGACAAGAGCGTAGTTTTCTGGTGCGGGAAGGAAGGGGACCAGTTCCCTCTTCCAGACGGTTTCCCGAGGGCCCAGCCTGAAATTAAGATCTTGGGGGTGGTGTTCGGATCAGGGGATCTGGCTCTCAGGAACTGGACCGAACGGCTTGCCATAACTTCTAGCAAGGTGGAGGAGAGCCACAGGTGGAAACTGACGTTCAGAGAACGGGTGAACCTAATCAAAACCTATGTTCTGACCGTATTCGGCTACGTCAGTAACATCTTCCTTTTGCCCAGGTCCCTCCACGCTTGGATGTTTGCGCTGTTCTTCCGCATGTTGTGGGGGAACAGGCTGAACCTCATCAAA